GGGGGGGGGGGGGGGGGGGGGGGGGGGGGGGGGGGAGTTGATGTGGGTTTCTCTGCCTCTATCTCTGTCGACGCGCATCCGTAATGCTGGCGCCGTGTATGACTGGTAGTGTGTGTGTGTGTGTGTGTTTCCGCGTGTCTGTGGCACAGACACAAACACACACACACACACACACACACGCACACACACACACACACAGAGAGAGAGAGAGAGAGAGAGAGAGAGAGAGAGAGAGAGAGAGGCCTCCGGTAGTCATCAGTTGGAGAACGTGCAAGAAGAAACAAGGAAAAAAAGAAGGGGAACGGAGGACTTCGAGGAAGACGTTGTGGTTTAGGGGGAAAGAACACTGGGAGTAGACGATACCTCACGCGATGCCAAGCGTGCAGGCCTGACTACGTGCTATCATGTGGCGCCCGGTTCTTGCATTCGCGGAACTGCCATTGCAGAATCCGTCAAGCGGCGGTGAGGGGGACTCGGAGACTCGGCTATGTTCGTTTAGCGGGTAAGGCCCCGCTTGACGCTGGGTTCTGTGTAGGGTACTCCGTTAGGCCTCTATTCGGAAATCTGACCCTCATAGTGAGGGCACACTCATATTAGGACTTCTTACCTATTTGGGGACGTACTTGCGGTCAGATACATTGCATTCAGCAGGGTATTAGTGTGCGTACTCACACAATCAATTTACTGAATGTATCTGACTGCCAGTACGGCCAAACTAGGATGAATCGGACCCTAATCACGTCCAGAGCTTCGTAGAAAGTGAGGGCATGCTCACACTGGCAGTGGCTTTAACTTACCATATTTACGGCCGAATCTTCATGTAATGTACCTGGCAAAATCAACATTTTTTTTTCTTTTTTCTTTTTCTGAGATGGTGAAAAATCAACAATGGATAAGAAAAGAAAATCTAGCTAAATAGTGGGAATTATCCAGCGGCCTGGCTCAGTTGCTTAGACACGCAAGTGGCATTCAGGCCGTTGTGGGTTCGAGCTCCCCACAACCACCTGCGGCGCACTTAGTGCCAAACGGGGGTGATAGTCCGCTTGATACCTCTGATCGGTATTAGCTGGGTCCTTGGCCAACACGGGTGTGAGTGAGAGTGTGAGTGGGTTGTGTGTGGTGTGTGGGAGAGTGTTGGCCTTACACACTGCTGATATGCGGTTGGAGGTGGGGGACGGTGAAAAGGGAGGCACAGCTACTGGGAAAATGCTCTGTCTTTGCTTTAGCGGAAACTCCACTAGCCGCCCCACCCCATCCTTGACCACCATGGTTGGGGCGGGGGGCACCATGCATCCCCTCTGATGGATGGAGGGAGACAGCAAAGCTATGTTCGCAGGGGTCCCCTGTATAAACCTTAGGAGTAGTGGTAGGCAGAGGTGAATGGAAAGAATTTGAAAGATGATGAAAGATTTGAGAGAAGAATATAGAAAAAAGAAAAAAGAAAAAAGAAAAAAAAAAGAGTGGGAATTATCTGGGAATCCGTTTTCCAGCAGGTGCAACCCTTGTAAGGGACGCTGGAGCATGGACCTGGTTTCTAGCAGCTGTAACCTTGCAAGGGATGCTGGACCCGGTTTCCAGCAGGTCCAGATCCCCACCAATAGGTAAGAGCAAGCCACCCTGCGAGGCCTCAATCCCGAGCGTTCACTCACCACCCTCACCAGCCCCGGGGGGAGGTACCACGAGCAAAGACTCGGAGGATAGGATTGAATGCCTGAATCTGGACCTGTTTGTCAAAAAGTGCAGAAAATAGAGGTTCGTCTCCTCTTCTGCATCTTTGCTGAAACCCATCTGCCCTAGTGGAACCTCTCCCCAGGGATGAAAGAGTCCTTTCTTTTTCTGCCTTGGAACAGAACCTCTCCCCAGGGATGAAGGCGATCGAGGGAGCGGCTGTGTGCAGAGCAGTGCGCGTACTGAATTGTTCACAGCGCGCCAAAGAACGAAAGAGCGCGCCCACAAGGCCGTGCGGCGGCGGGCGTCGATAAGAGGGAACATCTCGAAGCGCCCGCCGTCGGATAGCAAGAACGCATTGTTTTTCTTTTTTCTTTTCTTTTTATTTTGTTTTTCACTCACTTTTCTTTTGGTTTCTTTTTTTTTTTGTTTGTCAGTTGCTTTTCTTTTCGCGGAAAAGACGAAGCGGGTATTGTTGTCCGGACGCGGCGGAAGACAAAAAAGTTTGGAGGGCAAACACACGCCTGCTTGCCCTCACCCATGCATGCATGCCTGCCCGCACCCACGCCCCCACCCACAATATAACACACACACACACACAATATATATATATATAGTAAGTATTCGGAGTTCGGTTGCAGTGGTTGGGTTGGGGTTTGAACCCACATACAGACTTCGAAATACCGAATTGCTCATTGAGATAACCGTTGAGGCGAACTGGGTCCCTGTATGTTTTAGGGGACTGCTTTCTTTTGAAGTGTATCCGCATCAGGCTGCTGGCACGTCAGGATGTGCCTGTGTGTCCAAAGCCAGTCCCCCCGCCGCCGAAAACCCCCAGTCCCTGTGAGTTAGCGCCGGGTTCTACAGAGGGGCGGCGACCGTTCGTCACCGGCGGGTCCAATCCCGCCATTTGCAAGCGGTAACTTTGACAATTTTTTTAGCTCAGAAGATTTCACCAAATCGTCTGAAACTTTGAGGGTCCGTAGATTAGGTTGTGATATTTCAAGGAAAAATATCAGAAAAAAAAAAATCATTTTTACCATGACATAAGTGCCGCGCCGATTCGTTTTTTTGCGCGAAGTCAATTTTCGTGGCCCGCCCGGTCCAATCCCGCCATTTACAAGTGGTAACTTTGGCGATTTTTGTAGCTCAGAGGAATTATCAAATCGCCTGAAAATTTGTGGATCCGTAGATTAAGTGGTGATCTTTCAAAGAAATATATCAGAAAAAATAAAAAAAATCATTTTGACCGTGAAATAAGCGCCGCGCCGATTCGTTTTTTTTCGCAAAGTCAATTTTTGTGGCCCGCCCGGTCCAATCCCGCCATTTGTAAGCGGTAACTTTGGCGATTTTTGTAGCTCAGAAGAATTCATCAAATCGCCTGAAAATTTGTGGGTCCATAGAGTAAGTTGTGATCTTTCAAGGAAAAATATCAGAAAAAATTAAACAAAATCACTGTGACCGTGAAATAAGCGTCGCGCCGATTCGTTTTTTTTTCACAAATTCAATTTTCAAGGCCCGTCCGGTTTTCCGTTCTGTACTACCGGTACCCGTCGTGAAACGCCGCTACTGGTACCCCCGAGGTTTTTT